GTTCAAGTGGCGCTTTATTTCATTTCATGTTCTAGAAAAATATTTGCGGTCGGTTATCAATCAATATGTGCATATGCCATATGGAGGGTCATACTACTCTTTAGGAGATTTTAAAATTGACAATGATGGAGCCGCATCCTTCCTTGAGAACAAGTTTATCCAAGAAGGTATATGATTGTTTTTATGTTTGTTTCAAGTGGCTTTAGGAGGTTTTTGTTCCATTGATTTGTTTTCTTTGTTTTGGGTAGTTTCGGGAGAAGATGTCCAAGCCCCTATAAGGGTTGCATTAAATATAGTCGACCTTTTTTGGCATGTTGCACCTGGCAAGCAAGATCCCCCCATTGAAGTCACAAACTTTAGGGAGCTTTGTTCTCTTGCCCTAAAGAAGACTGACGAGATGTCTATCCGGTATTTTTCTTGACCAGCTACAAGGAGTTACAAGCCACACTCTAAAGATCAATCTTTACCTGTCCTATCTTTAGTCCATAGAAAACCATGAAAATTGCTTAGTTGTAGTTTTTTCATTTTAGCTCAAGCATTTTACATTTTTGGTTGGCATGGAATCTCTTCTTCTTTAGTGATAGAATTTGTGATATAAGATTTTCAATTTCTCTCTTTTTGTAGGAAGCTGTGTTATTACATTTTCAAAAATCTGATCGTGTTTGATCGAGGAGATGAATTATGCTTTCTACTGAAGATGTGGAATTTGTACATGATGGACGAGGGTAATGCTAAGGCATCAAAACAACATTTTGGTGATTTTACAAAAGCTACCGAACTTTCAGACTACATAATGAGGATTGAGCCCGAGGACCAAGAATTGGTTTGCTTAAGGAGATTTGATGCTCCCGGAAGGAGTGAAAAGGATTTGCTAAATATACCAATCAATGAGAGGTATGAGAAGGCAGACTCAGTCATTGCATTTATCATGGACGCCATTCGTCACTTTTAGAAAGTCAGGAGCAAAATCAAACGGAGGGGTTCCCACTTGTTATGCCTCGATGAGCTTTTAGAGATGATATTGGATAAACACTATGAAGACGTGATTCCTAGAATGTGGCTGGCAATGAAGGACAAACATTGGGAATCAGTAGATTCAGGTACTAACTAACATTGGCAGACCATTAAATTTTATAATTAATTAATATTGGCAGACCATTCACTTTTATAATTTATTAACAAGATTTCATTACTTTTTTTGGATGTAGTACTCTTCGTGATCTATTGTAGCGGGAAATTGAAATCGGGTTCGTAAGAAACCAAAAGGACCCTCCACATGATGAGTGTTGTGTTTTGGTGGTTTGTTGAATCCTTTGGAGGAAAGAGTGGTCTTTATATTACATGTTTAATTATGGAGGAAAGAGTTTGTTTAATTTTTTACGAACATAAAGACCATCCCGTAATTAAACATGTAATATAAAGACCACCCTTTCCTCCAAAGGATTCAACAAACCACCAAAACACAACACTCATCATGTGGAGGGTCCTTTTGGTTTCTTACGAACTCGATTTCAATTTCCCGCTACAATAGATCACGAGGAGTACTACATCCAAAAAAAGTAATGAAATCTTGTTAATAAATTATAAAAGTGAATGGTCTGCCAATATTAATTAATTACTCCCTCCGTCCCAAAAAATCCGACACGTTTCGAAAAAACTGTGTCCCATAAAGTCTGTAACATTTCTATTAAAAAACTACTTTTTATCCCTTACTTTTTCATACCCTACCTAACACACCTTTTTTCTAATAATCTACCCATCACATTCTACTTTTACCCATCACATTAAGGGTATTTTTGGAAAGTCAACACTAAAATATCCCTCCTTTACTTTCCCAAAAAGTAAATATGTACCAATCTTTTTGGGACGGAGGGAGTAAAATTTTATGGTCTGCCAATGTTAGTTGGTACCTGAATCTACTGATACCTGATTCCCAATGTTTCTCCGTCATTGCCAGCCACATTCTAGGAATCACGTCTCCATAGTGTTTATCCAATATCATCTCTAAAAGCTCACCGAGGCATAACAAGTGGGAACCCCTCCGTTTGATTTTGCTCCCGACTTTTTAAAAGTGACGAATGGCTTCCATGATAAATGCAATGACTGAGTCTGCCTTCTAATACCTCTCATTGATTGGTATATTTAGCAAATCCTTTCCACTCCTTCCGAGAGCATCAAATCTCCTTAAGCAAACCAATTCTTGGTCCTCGGGCTCAATCCTCATTATGTAGTTTGAAAGTTTGGTAGCTTTTGTAAAATCACAAAAATGTTGTTTTGACATTAAACTTTTACGAAGGATTTTACATGCAAATAGAAATATCCATGTTAAATTTGGCAACTTTTTGAATGACTTTAAAATTTGGCAAAAAAAGTGTGATGGTACTTCTAGAAATCGAGGCCAAAACTAAAAAAATAGTAATTTAGAAATTATTGATGAGTTTTTTTGACATGAAACTTTTATCGAGTATTGAAATGAAAATAGATACATTCATGTCAAATTTTGTAATTTTTGAAGGATTTAAAATTTGGCCTAAAAATGTGATAGTACCCTAAGGCTAGAGGCCAAAGCTAAAAAAAAGTATTTAAGACTTTATTGACAAGTCTTTTTGATGAATTCAACTTTACAAAGGATTTACATGCAAATAGAAACATCAATGTCAAATTTTGCAACTTTTAGGATGAATTTAAAATTGGCCAAAAAAAGTGATAGTACCTCTATAGCTCGAAGACAAAGCTAAAAAAAATAATAATTAAGACGTTATTGACAAGTCTTTTGACGTTACTTTTACAAAGGATTTTACATGCAAATAAAAACATCCATGTCAAATTTAGCAACTTTTTAGTAGACTTAAAAATTTGGCAAAAAATGTGAAAGAACCCCTATTGCTAGATGCCAAAACAAAAAAATAATAATTTAGAAATTATTGATAGTCTTTTTTGACATGAAACTTTTGCCACGGATTTAAATGAAAATAGATACATTCATGTCAATTTTTGTAACTTTTTTGATGGATTTAAAATTTGGCCTTAAATTGTGATTGTACCGCTAAAAGCTCGAAGCCAAAACTAAAAAAAATAATTTAGACAATATTGAGAAGTCTTTTTTAGATGAAACTTTTACAAAAGATTTTTCATGGAAATAGAAACATCCATTTCAAATTTCGCAATAGTTCTGATGGATTTAAAATTTGGCTAAAAAATGTGGAGTTACTCTAGAGTTCGAGGCTAAAACTAAAAAATAATAATTTAGACATTATTGACAAATCTTTTTTACATGAAACTTTTACAAAGATATTAAATCCAAATAGAAATATCTGTGTCAAATTTTACAACTTTTTTGATGGATTTAAAATTTGGCCAAAAAATGTAATGGTACATACCCCTAGGAGCTGGAGGCCAAAACTAAAAAAATAATAATTAAGATGTTATTGACAAGTTTTTTTTACATTCAACTTTTACAAAGAATTTTACATGCAAATAGAAGCATCCACGTCAAATTTTGCTACTTTTTGAATGAATTTAAATTTTGGCCAAAAAATGTTATGGTACCTCTAGAACTCGAAGCCAAAACTAAAAAAATATTAATTCAGAATTTATTGACAAGTCTTTTTGAGATGAAACTTTTACACAGGGTTTGTTAGAATAATAGACCAACGCTAGAGGGGGGTGAATAGCGTTTGATCGTAGAAATCGCAGGAATTAAAAAATTAAAAGAGAAGTAAAGAGAAGAGTAAGAGGCACACCGAATTTTACCCTGGTTCACCACAACTTGTGGCTAATCCAGCCTCCCGAGAGACTCTCTCGAGCTACACTACTATCTCGTTAAGCTTGCGGGTGCTTAACAAACCGTTACAACTTGAGAGTTCGAGTTACACGAACCTCAACGAGTCCTTCAAAGGAAAACAACCNGCTCAAGAACACAACACAAGCTTCACAAAAATGGCTCTCAAAAAGCTATGAATAAAGAATGAGTGATTTGCAATGAAAGAGTAGGAGTTGTGAAGTCAATGTGATGTTTAAAACAGACCCAAACACCCCATTTTATAGTGGAAAAATAGGCTCCAACGGACCAAAACATTTAAGGGGTGATTTGCACAATTTGTGGGATTTGATTAAATTTGGATCTGCTGAAATTCACCCAGACAGCGCTGTCCTAGGCTTGGACATCGCTGTTCTAGGCTTGCGTTTTGAAAATTAGAAAGCAACGGTCATGCCAACAGCGATGTCCAGTACCCCTACATCGCTGTTTTGACTGTTGACTTCCAAACAAGGATAGTTTTGGCCTTAAATTCCTTCCAACGGTCAGGTTCCTACATCGATGTTTAATAGTAGAACATCGCTGTTTAGTTTTGACTTTGAAGATGGAAGTTTGGCCTGACAGCGCTGTTTCTGGGTCAACATCGCTGTCCTGAAACTTTCTGCCAATGCACTATATTTTTGGCTTAGGTTGGACAGCGCTGTAGGGAAGCCTACATCGCTGTTCCAGAAGTTTGTGGAAATCCAACCTTGGCTCAACAGCGATGTCTAGTGTGCAACATCGCTGTTGGAAGACTTAACGCCAAACTATGGTTTTCAGCTACTCAAGCCAGACAGCGCTGTTGGGTGCACCAACATCGCTATTGGGCTGGTTTAGCCAGACCCATGGTTGGTTTAGTCATGCCGTTAGCCGATGTCAAAAACGTAAGTTCTCCAAAATAAAAACTAAGTGTTGCAAACATTTGTTTATTGCATTTTGCTAAGAAATCAAGTAAAACAACTCAAAAACCACGTCATTTAGTTGAAAACCACGGCCAACCAAGTTTGTGTCGTTTTGCATGGTTTTCACTAAACGACCATAAACGGAAGGTGGTTTTTGAAGCGTTTTTGTTGGAGAACTGTTTAAATATGCCCAGAAGTAAAAACCAATCATAAAAAGTTAAAAACCACTTGGTTGGTTCGGATGCCCAAAAACCAATGCCGAAAACCGAAAGCCGAACGCCGGATGACTTGGTTTTTGGTTTGGGCAAACTCCAAGTGTTTTTAGCCAGGTTTAAAAACTTATGAAAAACATTTTTGAATTTGCAAAAAGGGTTTTGATGAATTGAGCCTAGAGAGCCAAGATTTGGAAGTTTGTGCCGGTCTTGATCACATTAAGACCGACTCGATGCAATTCTAATTCTTTGTTCTTGATTCTTGGTTCTTGGTTCACATGTCATCATGCCGTGTTTCTTCACCTTGGTTTTGATCACTTTAGCCTTGTTGTGTCACGGCGGTTTGGCATTATCAAAACCTGTCATAAAAACGAATACAGTTTAGTACGACGTAGGCGTAAACCTGTGTTCCAACAATTTCCCCCTTTTTGATAATGGCAAACAAGACGGGGATATGCATACTAAGGGATATTTGACTTTGAAAAGAGTGAAAAAGTTCCCCCTTAATTTGTGCTTAAAAAAATTGTCATATTAAAATCAAACGATCCCGTTTTTAGGGACGTTCCCCCTTAGTGTATGCATAACCCTTTTCTTCCCTCTTTTGACATTAACAAAAAGATAAAGGATAACTTTTATTTATTGAAGATGGGAAATAGTGGAGTACAACGGAAGCATTTAAAAAAAACAGGATAATTAAAGTAAAAGAGATAGAAATTCTAGGGGCGTCCTAGTCTTCGTCTTCGGTTTCCTCCTCGTCGTCGTCAACGTCCATCTCATCACCGTCAACGGCGTCGTCAAACTCGTCCTCGTCCGGGGAGCTTGACGGGTCGTAGGAAGCATCGTCTTCGTCCTCGTCACCGTACACTTGCCCAAAGAACGTGCCATGGTACGGTGGGGGGACGTAGTTAACGCGTTGGAAGTACGCATTCATGGCGTACCCTTGGCGTTGGACCGCCTCGTCAAGCCTCTCAAGGTAGCCATCCATCCCATCAACTTTGAAGTGCAGGCGGTTGAGGGAGCCGGCGATGGAGGCAAGGTTGGCTCGGGCCTGGGGTTCGGCTGGGCCAGCAGCAGAACGGCGCCGTGGCACGGCAGTGGCAGGTCCGGCGTTGTCCGACCGCTTCTTGAAGGTTTGGGTGCTGATCGCCCAAATCTTCGTGGTCGGTGGACGCGGCATCCGTCATGTTGATCATGAAAAACTGTGCCCAATTGATTGTGGCCGAGTGCATGATCGCATGGATGAGTTTGAGGTCCTCACCGGACATGATTGTGTGGCCATGCTTCTGGGGCTTGATGATTCAGGACACGATGTAGAGAAGAAGACGGCCTTCGGGGTTAGCAGAGTGGATGGTGGGGCGGCCCGAGGCATGACGGATGAGCTCAGTGATGCCAAGCTCGTTGAGGATAAGGCCCTCGTTGTTGAGCACCCAGTCCTCTCCGCCATAGTGGGAGACGTCGTCGCCTTGGTAGGGGAGGCCGGCGATGCGCCCAAGCTGCTCAACGGAAAGCTCTATCGGCGTGCTCTTGACAAGAGAGTAGAGCACGTCGCCCTCACGCCGGAGGTTGGAGTAGAAGACCCGAATCAGCGCCGGGTTGATCTCCTTCCGAGCCCGGGAGACGAATGGCCAAAGGCCGGCTTGATGAAGCTGCGCGTCGAGGTCGTCGTAGCCCTGCAGCTCCGGGTAGCGCTCCGGGATGATCCGTGGAGGAGCCACGACCCGTTTAGAGAAGAAAGTGAAAAAGCGGGTGCGCTCCTCCTCGGAATCGAACCAGAGGTACGATCCGTCGCCATAGTAGAGGCGTTCCTCGGTGGATGTCGTAGGCGCCCGGGATTTGGACTTTGATTTCCCGGAGGTGGCAGCCCTGCTCTTGTCCTTGCCCATGAAAAAAAACTCAAGAGAGAAGAGTAGAGATGATGAAATAAGCAAAGATGTTGAAGAGAATTGTGTTTGTGTGTGTAAAAGTGAAGAGAGGGGGTCCCAATTTATAGAGAAAGAGGTCTCCAACGTCCAGATTTGCAAAAATATGGCTGTTGGATCAATTAATGCTGGTGCCAACGGATATTTTTTTTGAAAAATTTATCCAGAACAGTGATGTTCCAAAGGCTACATCGCTGTTGGGACAGCGCTGTTGAGCCTTTGGACAGCGCTGTTATGCGTCAAGTTTTAAAAACAAGTGTTAAATGGACAGCGATGTTGGGTTCTCTACAGCGATGTTCCAAATCATTCTGGAATTGTGTTAGGGGTTGAACCCATTAGAACAGCGCTGTTGGGTTTCCCTAAACCGCTGTTTTACGATAGAAAACAATTTGTAAAAGTGGACATCGATGTTGAAAGTGGGACATCGCTGTTTGAAAAGTTTCTGGTTTTGGTTGAAAACAAGGTGTTTTGGGTAGACAGCGATGTTTTAAGAAGGAACATCGATGTTCAAAAAGTTTCTGGAAAGTGAAGAGTAAGGGACTCCCTGGGACAGCGCTGTTGGCGTGTTGTACAGCGCTGTTGGCACAAACTGGTTGACGGTGTTTCTCTCAACAGCGCTGTTTGCATGGTTCCCCCTGATTTTATGAACGGGGTACCTGCAAAAAAGAAAAAAAGTTCTCCGACGCTCAAGTTAGTAAACGTTTAACAAGTTTAGATGCACAACTTAGATCATCGTGGAGTCAAGGATTCCGAGTTCACTTCGAATGCGGAAGAACGACTCTTTCTCTAGAGGTTTTGTGAAAATGTCGGCTAATTGGTTGTTTGTTTCAACAAACTCAATTTCGACATCACCTTTGAGAACATGATCTCTAATGAAATGATGCCTAATGTCAATGTGTTTCGTCCTTGAATGAAGAACGGGGTTCTTCGTCAAACTTATGGCGCTGGTATTATTACAACAAAGAGGAACGTGATTGATACTAAGGCCATAGTCCACGAGTTGCTTCATCCAAAGGATTTGAGCACAGCAACTACCGGCGGCTACATATTCCGCTTCAGTTGTGGATAACGCAACACTGACTTGTTTCTTACTAAACCATGAGGCTAGAGAGCTACCAAGTAAGTGGCAAGTCCCACTCGTGCTTTTACGGTCCAATTTGCAACCGGCAAAGTCCGAGTCGGAATAACCAGCGAGATGACACGAAGAGCCTTTTGGATACCACAGTCCAACGTTAACTGTGCCAACAAGGTATTTCATGATTCGTTTCACCGCTGTTAAGTGCGATTCCTTCGGACATAATTGATACCTTGCGCAAAGGCATACGCTAAACATGATATCCGGCCTACTAGCGGTAAGATAGAGAAGGGATCCGATCATACCTCGATACTTTTTGACTTCTACTTCCTTACCTTTCTCGTCTTTGTCTAGATGGTCGGACGTGCTCATCGGGGTCGCCATGGCTTTGGTGTTATCCATTTCAAACCGTTTTAGGAGCTCCTTGCAATATTTAGTTTGACAAATGAACGTGCCATCATTCTTTTGCTTGACTTGGAGTCCCAAAAAGAATGTGAGCTCACCCATCATCGACATTTCGAACTCGCTTGTCATTAATGTTGAGAATTCCTTGCACAAAGACTCGTTAGTAGCACCGAATATAATATCGTCTACATAAACTTGAACCAAAAGGATGTTATTGTTTTTACTCTTGGTAAAAAGTGTAGTGTCAACCTTTCCGCTTTGGAAACCACTATCCAAAAGAAATTTACTCAACCGTTCGTACCAAGCACGGGGTGCTTGTTTAAGACCGTAGAGCGCTCTCTTGAGTTTGAAGACATGGTCCAGAAACTCAAAGTCTTCAAAATCCCGGGGGCTGGTCAACATACACTTCCTCTTGAATAAAACCATTGAGGAAGGCACTCTTAACATCCATTTGATAAAGTTTAAAATCCATAGACGAAGCAAAAGCAAGAAGTAAACGAATAGCTTCTAAACGTGCTACAGGTGCATAAGTTTCTTCGAAATCAATGCCCTCTTCTTGATTGTAGGCTTTAGCTACGAGCCTAGCTTTGTTTCTAGTGATTATTCCATTTTCATCAAGTTTGTTACGGAACACCCATTTCGTACCAATAACCGTACGATCATCAGGTCTTGGCACCAATTCCCAAACGTCATTCCGTTTGAATTGGTTTAGCTCCTCTTGCATAGCCAAGGTCCAATGTTCATCGTTTATTGCTTCGGAAATGGTTGTAGGTTCAATTTGAGAAACAAAAGCCATGTGTCCTTTGGTGTCTCTAAGTGAGTTACGAGTACTTACCCCGCGGTTGATGCTGCCGATTACCTGGTCAAGTGGATGATTCTTGTGCGTTCTCCAAGCGATGGGAAGCTCGGTTTCCTCTTGTTCCTGGGCTTCCTCTTGTTCTTCTTCGTCCGCTTGGTCCTCATTTTCGACCATCACTTGAGGTGTTTCCTCAGGTTGTGGTTGCGGGTTGGTGTATAATGGCGTGTCTTCCTCATCGTCTTCAATGTTTATCCTTTCAAGTGAGTCTGCAAGATCATCACAAATAGCCTTTCTCGCCAAGCGAGTATTATCTTCGGAAAACACAACATGAGGGGACTCCTTAATAGTCAAAGTACGTTTATTAAACACTCTATAGGCCTTGCTACGAAGTGAGTAACCGAGAAAAATCCCTTCGTCCGACTTGGCATCAAATTTTCCCAAGTTATCTTTGCCGTTATTATGAATAAAACATTTGCAACCAAAGACTCGAAGATGGGAAAGGTTTGGCTTTCTCCCTTTGTATAATTCATAGGGCGTTTTCATGAGTATCGGTCGAATGACGGCTCGGTTTAACACGTAGCTCGCGGTACTCACGGCATCCGCCCAAAAATACTTAGGGATTTTTGCCTCATTGATCATAGTTCTAGCCATCTCTTCGAGACATCTATTTTTACGTTCCACCACTCCATTTTGTTGTGGTGTACGTGG